AAATACAGCAGAGAATTTATTAAACAATCCTATACTGTTATTTTTCAAGCTTCCTTTTTCGAGAGAAGACACTTGTACATACATGTGTTATCTGTAATTAAACTGTGAAACAGAAATGTTAAGAAGCTGAAGATAAAAGTATTTTCTGAGTAAAATTAATTATTAATTTAATTAAGATAATAAAAGCAATTTATTTAGTATTATACAAGTATCACACACAAATATATTTCAATAATTACGTAGCAGTGTAACATACATATTTTATGTCTTAGACGACATAAGCTTTAAACATTAATTATTAATATAGATCCAGATAAATTTTGCAGAATTCGATAAGAATATGAAAAATAAATTAGGAACTATGGTAAATCTTGCTTCGCACGGTATTCAGATCGCTAAACAATGCGATTCTGTTCATTTGCATATCCACCAATCCACTAACGAATATATCATTTGGAGTTTTAAAGGACTCCATCTCAAATACGAACTCCTGAATTGCCTTTGTTTCGCGGCTCAATTTTTATTCGGAAGCCGTCCACCCTCTTGAGAATAATATCAACCTTCAGCCGGAAGTCCTTTTCTGTGAGATCCGACAGGATCTTGTAGTTCCGCAGGATTGTCGACAATAAAACCTTCAACTTTAACATCGCATATTTCCTTCCCACGCACGACCTACAAAAAAAAAAACGCAATTTAATCGCCTCATGCCTCATGAGATCCCACTTCTGAAGAACAAGGCATTTCGGGAAGAGTATCAGTTTACGTGAATATTTGATAAAATATTCAAATGATTTCGCACGCGTTAACCGTATGCGTAATTTGTGTTTTCGACAGTTTGTTAATGATTGATAATATTCTAGACCATACGCGACCAAGAATTCTATACACATATAATAAAAATGAGCAGGTGAAACATGAACAAGGAGAAACAGCAGAAGAATTTGAGGTATTTGATATCTTATTTACGACTTACTAAAATTATTAGGTGAAACAATTAATTTGTCCTTAATTTCGATTCCTCGTAATTGTGGATAATACATATTTTACAAAATGATCCACAGTCTATTAATAAGTTTCCGAAAATTAAAAGAATACTCAAGCTGTTAGAATTAACAACACATCCTGTATTTAATGAGCTACTTTAAAGATCTTTTGAGAATTCTAAAATTTTTAATTTATGTAGTTTTATTCGATTTGTAAATAATCCTAATCAGATATACAGTGGATGAGAAAAGTATTCGCACCTTTAAAACGGAATAACTTTTTTATAATTCGGCCAAGCAATCTATTTTATTAGTTTACTAGACAACGGCGTAAAAATGATTTTAACGAATTACAATATGTTGGTATGATAAAGGAATTAAAAAATCATGTTTCTTCAACTTTTTTTTATCTGAGGCTATAACGAAAATTCAAAAAATGCCTTTTGTAAACCTCGGTAAATTATGTATGATTGCTGAATATTTCATCGTCAACATTTATTCGTTCTCATAAATTCAAACATACTATAGGCAACGATGGTATAGTGATATAAGGCAAAACGAAGAACTTTGTCGTCGAATGGTTGCTCTACTGCAGGCGTCCTCGTTGGATATAAAATGAGATCAACCATTTAAAGCAGAATGCTATACAAAGTTTCATTAATTTACTGAATAATATAAGCTTTTTGTCCTCGCATTAAAAAATTGTACTCTGTGATAATAGAGTCATAAAATGAAACAATGGAATTTTGTTACAAAGTTGACATGTATGCAAGCAAGTTTATTATTTTAATTTATGATTTTAGTTTATGGTACTTGACATTAATTGTTTACCTTCTCCTAAAATGTATTATTTTTTTATAATCCCTTTTGATACTAATACTCATGAGGTTCGTTATTTTAAAAAATTGATCAGTAAGATAATAAAAATTATTAATTACTTACCTTGGACCAGCACTGAAAGGAACGAAGGCGTAATAATGCCGACTTTGCATCCGTTCCGGTAAGAAGTTATCGGGGTTAAATTCATCAGGATTTGGATAAAATTCTTCTAACCGATGTATCAGGAATTGTGGAATTAATACTGTACAACCTTTTGGTAACACGTAGTTGTTCGTAACTGGAAAAACGACATTGCGAAATAAGTATTGCAATTCCTGTTCATATATTTGTATTCAAATAATAACGAAATGATTATCTTCGAAGCAGTAAGTCAAATAATAATCAAATAATGATCTCCAAAACACACACACAGTAATGCAAATAATAATTCGAAAACTAATTCAAAGAATAATACAATTCAAATAACAATCAAGTGATATTATTGTAATTCAAATATTAACTAGAATAATCATTCAAATAATAATACATTTCAAATATTTATATCCAAATAATAATCAATTAATAATCTCGAAAATACTAACCCAAATAATAATTAAAAAGCTAATTCAAATAATAATACAGTTCAAACATCTACGTGTAAAAATTAATAAAATCATAATAATTTTTAAAATATAGTAATTGAAATAATAATTTCATTAATAATTAAAATAATAATTAATTTTAATTTTTTATACTCAAATAATAATGAACTAATAATGTTCAAAATAGTAACGCAA